AAACTCAAAAGAGTCATGCAGAGACTATAAAAGCATAAAACTGCAGTTTCATTTAAAGATATTACACCGCTGACATCTGTTTTCATAACTATACTGATAAATGAATCATCAAAAGTTGAAGTATCAGTCGCAATGTTTTTAATTTGTCACTGCGCAATTTCAAACTGTGACAATTTGATCGATTTGTAAAAAATCTTGGACTAGTTCGATTTGAAAAGTGTGATGTAGAAAGTATAGTTTACAACAGCAATACATTATATACAGCCTTGAATGATGGTTCCACACCAAGGAAAATTCTGTCAGATTGCAAAACTAGATGGTTATCAATTTAACCAGTGGTTGAAGCAATGGCTGAAGTTGAAGACACACTTTGAAATAACAAGACAACGTGAAAAGTGCTACACAGCTGAAATACTATATGGAATGTACAGTGATGAAACAAACAAAACAGAAACTAAAGCGTTTTGGAGTGAAGTGAGACAATTTAAAGATGCCTCATCAAACAGTCCATTCTGTAAGCTCTTTAAAGTGTCATGTCTGCCATGATACTACCACTCAAATGCTGACGTAGAAAGAGTTTTCAGTGCTAGGAATTATATCAAATCTAACCTAAAAAACAGGATGAAATTTGACCTCTTAAATGCTATCGTGCCATTAAAATTCAGCCTAATGAGACTAGAGAAATAAGCCTACTGTTCCACTTATAAAGAAATTTGAACAGCTAAAGCATACCAGGGTCATTTTGGATCTGAAGCTTCAACTTCATTATCCAAGCTAAGTTTATCCTGTGGATCTTGTGAGGCAGACATCAGTGAAGGTGAGGACATGATTATGTAGGGTAAGTCATAACAAAAGCTATGTAATTTTTGACTTTTTCAATTTGGATGTTTTTTCTAGATCTTTTCCACGGAGATTCAGATCTTTTTAGATATTTTTTGACACCGTTTTGGATATTTTTTGTCAAAGAAAAGTGGCAACACTGGTACGAGGTGGAAGAGATGAAAAATAATCCATCTTCTCTCAGTGCGGCCTTTTGCATTCACTTCAGATCTTTTCATGTGTAGCTCCTGAGTTGGTAGTTGTTCTAGCTGCATTCTTACAAGATGACCAAATCATCTGATCTTCTGTTTCTCAACGAATTTGCTGCTTGATGTTGTTTCCAGTCTGCCTGATATCACTTCTTATTTTCCCTGGGATGGTTAACCTGGCGGCTCTTTTTATGCATCTCATTTTACAGGTGTTTATTTTTTTTATTTTTTTATTTTATATATACCATGAATAAATAATCATGTTAAAAAAAAATTGCAGTGCTAAATTCGCGCGTGTGTATGTGTGTGTGAGAGGGGGAGGATTTCCCCCAAGAAGCTTACCCCTTTAGGTTCCAGCGCTTCCCTGGAAGAACCTACCAGTTTGTCTTCTTTCTAACTCATCCCACTCTTCCGAAGGCTCGCATTTTAACATCTTTTTAACGTTTAATTGCGACACGTAAATTGGAATTCCACTTTCTGAATACAGGAGTGGTACAGCGTGAAAAGTGGCGAAAGTCTAACATAGCCTAAAATGTAATTATCTGGTTCTCAATTAAAATACTGCCCTAAGGTGAACTATTCTTTGCTTCAGAGCAACCTAAAAAAAAACATCAGTTCTCACACTTGTTTTGTCAGGATTTTTTTTTTCCGAGCCTGGCCCACCATTTAAACAAATGAACATTTCTGCGAAGATTTTTCTCCCTTCACAGAGCTCTTCTGCACCGAAGTTTTAGTTTGCCCGGTAAACAAAGGGGGTAACTTTTTTCCCTCTTCTGCCATGTGATTCAATGTTAACCTTTCAATGTCTCCAGCCTGGCTTCTCAAGTTTAGAATACGCACAGGCTTGATACAGTTGTCGAGTTTGCTTAACTGTTTTAGGTCATTATCTATGCTTCAACACTAAAGATCAATGTGCTATCGTATGGGAAGAAAATAAATAAAATTAACTGGGATACTCGCCCTCATCTTCGGCTTCCAGCGCAGAGGTCCAATACTAATAGTGCCAGTATTACTTCCAGCGCAGAGGTCCAATACTAATAGAGCCAGTATTACTTCCAGCGCAGAGGTCCAATACTAATAGAGCCAGTATTACTTCCAGCGCAGAGGTCCAATACTAATAGAGCCAGTATTACTTCCAGCGCAGAGGTCCAATACTAATAGAGCCAGTATTACTTCCAGCGCAGAGGTCCAATACTAATAGAGCCAGTATTACTTCCAGCGCAGAGGTCCAATACTAATAGAGCCAGTATTACTTCCAGCGCAGAGGTCCAATACCAATAGAGCCAGTATTACTTCCAGCGCAGAGGTCCAATACTAATAGAGCCAGTATTACTTCCAGCGCAGAGGTCCAATACTAATAGAGCCAGTATTACTTCCAGCGCAGAGGTCCAATACTAATAGAGCCAGTATTACTTCCAGCGCAGAGGTCCAATACTAATAGAGCCAGTATTACTTCCAGCGCAGAGGTCCAATACTAATAGTGCCAGTATTACTTCCAGCGCAGAGGTCCAATACTAATAGAGCCAGTATTACTTCCAGCGCAGAGGTCCAAATACTAATAGAGCCAGTATTACTTCCAGCGCAGAGGTCCAATACTAATAGAGCCAGTATTACTTCCAGCGCAGAGGTCCAATACTAATAGAGCCAGTATTACTTCCAGCGCAGAGGTCCAATACTAATAGAGCCAGTATTACTTCCAGCGCAGAGGTCCAATACTAATAGTGCCAGTATTACTTACAGCGCAGAGGTCCAATACTAATAGAGCCAGTATTACTTCCAGCGCAGAGGTCCAATACTAATAGTGCCAGTATTACTTCCAGCGCAGAGGTCCAATACTAATAGTGCCAGTATTACTTCCAGCGCAGAGGTCCAATACTAATAGAGCCAGTATTACTTCCAGCGCAGAGTTCCAATACTAATAGTGCCAGTATTAGTCTGGCTGTATGTCCGTGTTTTCTTTTCTCTGAGTCTAGTGTGCCGGCTGAACCCTCTGGTCCCCTCCAGGTGCATCATTCTCTCCAACCCATAATAATCTAGTTTCTCTTCTGACTTCGTTACTTGTTTCCAAAGGGCACTGGCCACATTTGCCTTGTCATGTATCAGTTCACCGAAAAATGAATTTTGTGTAATAAATCACTCTTATTAAAGATCATAAAACGAGTACTGAAATTCTACATCGAGCCTGTCCTGTTGTATGGCAGTGAAACTTGGAATGTGAGCAAACCAATTAAGAAAAAGGCAACTTAGATCAGGCTCTTAAGAAGAATCTTGAGAATACCTTGGGCTGCCAGAATAACCATCATTGAATGCCTGGAAATGGCTGATGAAAGTATACTATTATATGCAACAATGAGAAGGAGACAAACAAAGTTCTTTGGTCATGTGATGAGAAAAGGAGCACTGGACAATATCGTGACTGCTGGAAAGATCACTGGTAGAAGAGGCAGAGGCAGACCAAAAGAAATGATGAGGGATGTTCTAAGACAGTGGCCTGGAGGAATATCATCAGTAGAATTGATCCAGAACACAAACGATCGAGATCTGTGGATACATATGAACACCTACGCCAGCTGGCCAGGCATTTGATGATGACGCTGATGATGAAGAAAAAATAAAGAATAAAATATAATAATTATAATGTATCATAAGGTGCGAGGAAGGGCGCTGGCGTTGGATAGAACATGCGTTGAGATAACCTGATATTAAATAACGAAATGCCCGTGCCGCTAGGTCAGTTTTTTTTTTATATAGGTTTAAAAAACGGATCAACATCACAGCACAAAGGTAGTAACCCATAAGTGCTACGTTCCACTTTTAAATTGTCTGAGTGTGAAGAATCTTAGCGCAGTGCACGAACTCTGTAGCACCGGCAAGGATCCTGCAATACTTTAGGTTTGGGTAGATTATTTTACTCCGCCAGTGAAAAGGGGGAAACAAGTAGGTAAAAAAAAAAAAAAAACGCCCGTGAAGAGAAAAAGGAATAGGGTGAAAACAACGTGGAGTACACGGGGTGAGCTGCTGACACTGGCAAAGAAATGAATCTTCTGTTTCATTGCATTCGGGAAGACGTTATCCGAACGGTTAGAATTCTGGGTTCTCAAGTGGGAGACCCAGGTTCGAATCCTCGGTAAGGCTGTGGATTTTTTTGTCAAGGCAAAATAAAATCCTCACCTGCACAGTCATGGCTACAGAACTAGCCATGCGGTCATAAGAAGAAGAAGAAGAACAAGACGAAGAAGAAGAAGGAGGAGGCGGCGGATCAGGAAGATGAAGAAGTGAGGAGGAAAAGAAAGAAAGAAAGAAAGAAAGAAAGAAAGAAAGAAAGAAAGAAAGAAAGAAAGAAAGAAAGAAAGAAAGAAAGAAAGAAAGAAAGAAAGAAAGAAGAAGAGAAAAAAGAAGAAGAAGAAGGATGAAAAGGAAAACGAGAGTATTCTGTCGTTTTCTACATCAAGACATTTCATTGGTACCATTATAATTCGCACAACCAGATAACTTGTAATTAATTATTCACATTCTGCTGTGTACCTCCTCTTGTATTATTCACATTCTGCTGTGTACCTTCTCTTGTATTATTCACATTCTGCTGTGTACCTTCTCTTGTATTATTCACATTGTGTTGTATACCTTCTCTTGTATTATTCACATTCTGCTGTGTACCTCCTCTTGTATTATTCACATTCTGCTGTGTACCTTCTCTTGTATTATTCACATTCTGCTGTGTACCTTCTCTTGTATTATTCACATTCTGCTGTGTACCTTCTCTTGTATTATTCACATTGTGTTGTATACCTTCTCTTGTATTATTCACATTCTGCTGTGTACCTCCTCTTGTATTATTCACATTCTGCTGTGTACCTTCTCTTGTATTATTCACATTCTGCTGTGTACCTTCTCTTGTATTATTCACATTCTGCTGTGTGCCTTCTCTTGTATTATTCACATTCTGCTGTGTACCTTCTCTTGTGCTCGCAGAAACTATGAGACGATAATTAGTTGCCTGTCCAATGACATCACAGCACGTAAGCCAGACAATCCATTGGACTTCTTCATCAACCTGACCTTCAGTAACCACACACTACGCGCCAAAAGTGCCACCGTCTGCTCAAAGTTCAAAGGTAAAGCAACAATGACAGAGGTAAGAGTCAGAGATGTGGCAAGAGAGCGGGCAGTGTCATCACCGAGGGTTTGGCGAGGGAGAGGAGGGAGGGGGCAAGGGGGGGGCGGTGTCTCAGCCTGACAAAAATGTGTTTTTAAATATACAAAATCTGTGTGAGTGTTTCTCTCCCCCCCCCCCACCCATCTCTCTCTATCTCCCTCTCTCTCTCTCTCTCTCTCTCCCTCTCTCTCTCTCTATCTCCCTCTCTCTCTCTCTCTCTCTCTCTCTATCTCTCTCTCTCTCTCTCTCTCTCTCTCTCTATCTATCTATCTATCTATCTATCTATCTCTCTCTCTCTCTCTCTCTATCTCCCTCTCTCTCTCTCTCTCTCTCTCTCTCTCTCTCTCTCTCTCTCTCTCTCTCTGGTGTATGTGTGTTTGCATTTT